TCTAGATACTAGATTTGTTTATTGGGTATTGGGGCATCATTGCTTCTAGGCCCTGTTAGGTGACAGAACAAGAAATATATGTATATGTGTGCACACACTATATACTGACTGTATACAGACTACATACAGAGTGGTTCCCAGAATCTGCCATCCATTTACCCAATTGTTCTATTTCACAATGTGTGTTGTGATGGTTGATTTTATGCGTCAACTTGAAAGGGCCACAGGTTGCCTGGATATTTGGTGAAACATTATTCTGGGTGTGTCTGTGAATATGTTTCTGTGTGAGATTAACATTTGAAATGGTAAAGCAACTTGCCCTCCCTCACTAGTGTGAGCAGGACTCGTCAAATTAGTTGAAGGTCTGAATAGAATAAAAAGGCTGAGTCAGAGGGCATTCCCCTTGCTGACTACCTCTGAGCTGGGGCATTGTTTTGTCCAGCCTTTGAACTCAACCTGAAACATTGACCATCCAACTTGCTGACTGTAGATCTTGGGACCATTGACCTCCAAAAGCACATCACTCAATTTTTTTTTTAATAGTAAATCTATCTCTGTCTCTCTCTTAGTTACATATGTAAATAGATAGACAGATTTAATTTGTTTCTCTGGAAAACACTGACTAGGCCACTTGTACTGTATGTTCAGAATTCTCAGACTGTATCTCCATGGGATCAGTGTTACCAATTAGAGTACAATGCTTATGTGGAGTTCCTTTGCCCATAGGCTTACAGACGTCACTCATTTCCAGAGTTCCTCAGGTCAGCCTTTTTTCGCCCATCCCTCTTCGGTGAGGTTATTTTGTGCATTCATAACGAAGTTAAACTCTTTTTGTCACATTGGGCATTCTCTTGTGAAATGTCTTAACATTATAAACTTTTAAAAATTCTACACATTTAGGTTGATTCTATGCTCTGAAATTCTATGGGTTTTGAGAGAAACATGGTATCATGATTTTACCACTACAGTATCCTGAGTTAGCCTTCATCACTCTGAAACGCCCTGCCGCCTGTTCACCTCACAAAGCTCTTTTGCCTGTCCATATGAACTTTAGTTTGTTAGGACTTACAAAACAGCTTACTGAGATTTAAATTGAGATTGTGTTCAATCTACATAGCAAGTCAGAAAGAAACTGACAGCTTAATAATATCAAGTCTTCCAAACTGTAAGTATGGAATATCTCTTCATTTATTTATATATTTGATTTCTTTCATTGGCATTTCATCAGTATTTCAGCTGCAGATTCTCCACATAAGTTTGTCAGATTATGTCTAAGTACTTAACCTTTTGGTGATGTGAATAATATTTATTTTTCACTTCTTCATTATTGGCATATGAGCAAGTTATTTTATATAATAATTGCGTATCTTGACACTTTGCTATTTTTACTTACTAGCTCTAGGAAATTTTTGATGTATTCTTTGGATTTTCTACATAGATTATAATAAAAATATGAGAATAAAATAATTTTATTTATTTCTAATATATATAAATTTTGTTGCTTTTTCTCATAGCATTGTTTTAGATGGCTTTTCAGTATAATTCAAATAACTAAAGGGAGAGAAAATACTGTCTTATAAATTTTAGGGAATAAAGGTTCAGTTTCTCACCCTTAAGAATCCTATTAATTCAAGAACTTTTTCAGACATTTTTTACCAAGTTAAGTTACCCTCTACTTCTTGTTTGCTGACAGATTTATTTATTTATTTATTTTAATCTGAATGTGTGCTGGATTATGTCACATATACTTTTTCTGCTTTAACTGATATAATTATATGACTTCTCTTTTAGTACTTCCCAGTAGCAAATTGTTCTGATTTCTTTTCGACGTTAAACTAGCCTTGAATATTTAGACTAAATCCTGCTTCATCCTGGTACATAATTCTTTATGTACTTGATGGTTTTAATTTGGTTTCATTTTGCTGAGAATTTTATTTTATGTTCATAACATGTATTGATATGTACTGTTCTTTTCTTAAAATGTCTTTATATGGTTTTGGTGTCAGAATGATGCTTTCCTGTGTAGAATGAGTCAAAATTTTTTTCTCTCTGCTTCTAATTTCTGGGAGAATTTGTAAAGAATTGATGTCATTCGATGTTCATAGCAGCACAATTCACAATAGCAAGACTGTGGAACCAACCTAGATGCCCTTCAATAGACGAATGGATAAAAAAAATGTGGCATTTATACACAATGGAGTATTACTCTGCATTAAAAAATGACAAAATCATAGAATTTGCAGGGAAATGGATGGCATTAGAGCAGATTATGCTAAGTGAAGCTAGCCAATCCCTAAAAAACAAATGCCAAATGTCTTCTTTGATATAAGGAGAGTAACTAAGAACAGAGTAGGGATGAAGAGCATGAGAAGAAAATTAACATTAAACAGGGATGAGAGGTGGGAGGGAAAGGGAGAGAGAAGGGAAATTGCATGGAAATGGAAGGAGACCCTCAGGGTTATACAAAATTACATACAAGAGGAAGTGAGGGGAAAGGGAAAAATAATACAAGGGGGAGAAATGAATGACAGTAGAGGGGGGTAGAGAGAGAAGAGGGGAGGGGAGGGGAGGGGGGATAGTAGAGGATAGGAAAGGCAGCAGAATACAACAGACACTAGTATGGCAATATGTAAATCAATGGATGTGTAACTGATGTGATTCTGCAATCTGTATACGGGGTAAAAATGGGAGTTCATAACCCACTTGAATCAAAGTGTGAAATATGATATATCAAGAACTATGTAATGTTTTGAACAACCAACAATAAAAATTAAAAAAAAAAGAATTGATGTCATTTCAATTTTAAATGTTAATCAGTGAAAATATTGGACTTGGTGTTTTCATTTTAGAAGCTCACATTATTGATTTAATTTACTTAATAGGTATATGGATATCCTGATTATTTCTCCCTATATAAATCTTTGCAGTAATTTTTAACTTTCAAGGATTTAGTGTATTAAACCAAAGTTATCACATTTACTGATATAGAGTCATTTATAATTTTCCTTTATGATATTTTAAATGTCCATGTACCTTAAGATTTTAACTTGGCTTAAAATATGCACACACACATATACATATACACTCTCTTTTATTGTATCTTTTTTTGTACATAGTCATATCTTAGATAATTCTCCTTGTCATTTATTTTCCTTTCCACTATGCCTCATGGATACATAGTAGTATGTGTAGTCTGAGCATAAAGTGAAGATGTGTCAATGTGAGAAGCTGCCCATGTTGCTGGGGGGACGATTAGAAAGGAACACAGAAGGATACTGATAGAGCAGGATCCAGAAATACATTCTATAAATTAATCAACCCAAGAAAATGTCTTGAGAGCTCCAAGATCCAGAATGTTAGGGAGACAATTACCACTTTGTGGTGGAAACAGGGACTGACGCAGCCCTAGGAAAACACAAGCTGACTGATCAACCCATTATATACTGAGTATTCCGTTACTTGGTCAGGTATGTCAAACCAAGCTAGTTCACTCCTGAGAAAGGAATGAGACCCTCTCTTCTAAGCACCAAGGACATGGTTTCTTTAAGTCTCTGAAAAGCTTAGGGTGTGATAAGAAAGAAATTTCCATTTCCATTTTTGTTTCACCTTTGCATTTCAAGAAAGAAACATCAGAGTTTGTGTCTATTCTTCAAACTGTTAATTTGACCGGTTGTAATGTCTCCAGTTTTCTCCATTTGTGAAGATAGTTGTGCTGCATATTTATGTACATTCACGTTTCTACATTTGCACTATTTCCTCAGGATACATAATTGTATCTCAGTACAATTTCATCTCAGAAGTATGTTCACTTTAATTACTCATGATAATTAAAGTGTTGTCAGACAAGTTTTTTGGTCATAAGACATTTCTAAGTACAAATATCTATTCAAGAAATATCTATTTTTCTTCTCAAATGACTTTAGCTATAATTGGCCAGAAGTGTTTCTCCAATTGAGCATTCAGACTAGACACCAGAATAGAAGGAGGAATGATCTCAGAGGCCAAGGCACTTCCTGATTTGGATAGTTACAACAGAGCACCCCTGAGCATGGTGGTGTATACCTGTAATCTAGCTACTCCAGAGGATGAGCTGAAGGATTGCAAATTCAGCACCAGCCTGGGCAATTTAGTGAGACACTGTTCCAAAATAACATAAAAATTTCCAGGTGCAGTGGTGCACACCTGTAATCCCAGTGGCTTGGGAGGCTGAGGCAGGAGGATCTTAAGTTCAAAGCCATCCTCACATTTTGGTGAGGCCTTAAGCAAATTAGTGAGACACAGTCTCAATATGAAAAATAAAAAGGGCTGGGATGTGGCTCAGTGATAGAGCACTCCTGGGTTTTATTTAATACACAGTACCATTTTACATATATATATATATATATATATATATATATATATATATGTTGGAGATGTAGCTCAGTGGTAGGGCACTCTTGTGTTGCAAAACCACAAACAAAAGCAAAAAACAGAGCAGCTGAGTATACTATATCTGTTCTACATCTCAGGATTTCATATCTGTGGATTAAATCAACAATGCATGGAAAACATTTGTAAAAAATTGCATTTCTACTGAATATATAGAGATATTTTCTTGTCATGGTTTTCTTAAACACACTGCTGTCATCTTAAGTACTATAATATAGATATAATTCAAAGTATACAGGAGAGAGCGGGAAGAATATACACAAATACTATGCTGTTCATCGTAAAGCACTTGAGCATCTGCAGATTTTGGCCTCTGTGAAGTTCCTGTAGGAACTAATGCCCTATGAATACTGAGAGACTACTGGCAGAGCAGACACCTCCCACTCTACTGCCAAAAAACTTGGTTTGTGCAGAAACCCTGAACCTCAGGGTGCCATGGTGCAGGATGTTTGTTGACCTCCTCTAAAGAGGGGAAGTGAAGGACAGTGGGACTGGGATTTTTCCCTTAAAGATGAAGACACATTGTCAGTTGAAAGGCTAAACAAACATTAGTGACATGCATTATTTTAAAAATCTGCTTTATTTAGCATTTAAAAGAGAGAAAACATCACAGTGATACAGATACTGCACATCTGAGGACTCATCACAAGGCTTCCAGGTATGTGAAGTGGGTGCTCAACATTTGTAAGATGTTCTTGGGTCAAGGGAAATTAAAGGAAATTTGCTTAATTTTTGCAAAGGACCTTGGCACGAATTTCTGGAATGAGAGGGGCAGAGATAATTTTCTTGTAATGCTCAGCTTCAGAGATAAACTAAGAAGGTAAGAGCTAGATAACTAGGTAACAAAGTGAGACACCAGATGTGACTGAACCATGATGTGAGATCAGAGGATAACATTCTGAGGAGAGCCACTGGATCTCTGAGGAGCAGGTAAACAGAGGAGCCAGGAGGGCAGGGGCCTTCCGCAGCCCCAGCTAGAGAGCAGAGGTGGAGGCAGAGGAGGAAAAGATCCTGAGCAGAGGGCTCTACACCAGAGGGCTGAGCAGGGTGGGACAAGGGCCAGTGCAGGACTTCAGTGCTTGTAGCTCCTGCTGGAGGTGGTGGAGGAGTATTTGATGGTGGAGCTGCTGCCACCAGAGGAGCTGAGGCCACCCCCGATGCCTCTGCCACTGCCAGAACTGAAGCCACCTCCAAGGCTGTGACCACTGCTGTAGGAGTAGCTGTTGCCTCCGCCCAGTCCGAAGCCACTGCCGGCACCCCCAGCGCTGCCATAGCCGCTGGACACAGTGGACTGCACCACAGCTGTAGGGAGGACAACAGGACACAGACACCGTGAGCTCACTCTGTCACCTGAGCCAGCTCACAAGGTCAACAACTGGGAGGCAGACAAGCCAAGTACTTACAGATGTTGACGGGTCCAACGCCCTCGCCACTCAGCCTAGGAGGAGAGGAACACAGAGGATGAGTCCTCCGCAGCCCATACCTGATCCCAGGAGAAGCCTCCACCCAAGGCTCATGGAGACCGCCCACCCCTGATCCAGAGAGTCTCCTGACAGCACCCATCATTACTGGCCACAATCCCCTGCTCAGGGCCAGACCCCTCCCACAGGTGCTCAGAGGGGTGTGTCACCCACCTGCACTCCTCGCCTTCCAGCAGCTTCCTGTAGGTGGCGATCTCCACGTCCAGGGCCAGCTTGACATTCATGAGCTCCTGGTACTCCTTCAGCAGCCTGGCCATGTCCTGCTTGGCCTTCTGCAGGGCGTCCTCCAGCCCTTCCAGCTTGCTCTTGGCATCCTTGAGGGCCATCTCCCCACGCTGCTCCGCATCAGCAATGGCGGCCTGCAGGCTGGCGCACTGCAAGGGGAAGCAAGGAAATGGGCTTGGAGCCTGGGCCTTCCAGGAGGCTCATCCCTGCTCTTCCTGCCCAGTGAAGAAGAGCCCGGGAGGCTGGACTGCATGGACAAGCAGCCCCGACCCTGTCTCTGCCCTGTACCTGCTTCTTGACGTGGTCGATCTCCGATCTGAGCCTCTGGATCATGCGGTTGATCTCAGCAATCTCCTGCTTGGTGTTGCGCAGGTCATCCCCATGTCTGCCTGCTGTGACCTGCAGCTCCTCATACTGTCGTGAAGGGGGGAGAGGGAGACAGAGAATGCGTGGGGTTTTACATGTGCACAATGCTGTCTCGCTTCGGAGTCAGACAGTGAGTTATCTCCACCTATTGGATTCTCCTCAATGAATTTTAGAAAAGTTGATGTTAAGTGGCTGGACACAGTGGAACCAAGCCACAGAACATCTCAGTTAGGGAACCAGAGACTTCTTAGTTCTTTCAGGGACTGACAATGTTGTGCTCCGTGTCTCTGAGAGCCATCAGTGAGAATGAAGTTTAAGCAAAGATGACTTGGTCCTTATCTATGGGAGCTTGCTCCTGCCTGGGAGTGGTTCTTCTGCTTCCTAGACAGGGACATCATATCTGAGAGAGTTTATTCTAAGCATGTGGGGTACAGCTTCTGTGAGAGGACTTTAGCCTCCTTTCAGTAATTCCCCCATGAAGTCAGGAGGCTTCTCGAGCTCAGGGTGGGGCTGGGGCCTCCTTAGCGGCTGCCAAGTCACTGCTCACCTTGGTCTGGTACCAGGACTCAGCCTCAGCCCGGCTCCTCTGAGCGATCTCCTCATATTGGGCCTTGACTTCGGCGATGATGCTGTCCAGGTCCAGGTTGCGGTTGTTGTCCATGGACAGCACCACAGAAGTGTCTGAGATGTGGGTTTGCATCTGAGACAGTTCCTGCAGAGCACAAGGTCCTAAGGTCATCTTGGCCTGGGCTGCTTACCAATGTGCCCAATGGGGACATAGGACTCTCCACCCTGCAGAACCCATCTGAGTGAAGGAAAAGGGGTAGAGATGCTCACTGCCTCATAGATGGCTCTGAGGAAGTTGATCTCATCCATGAGACTGTCTGCCTTGGCTTGCAGTTCCACCTTGTTCATGTAGGCAGCATCCACATCCTGGGGAAAGAGCAGACAGTTTGGAATCAGCTGAGCCCTCCTGCCCAGCCCCCATTTTATCACCATGGCAATAGTCTTGTGAGATTGGATGGGGATGCAGAGTCATGTCTCTCCTTGAGCAGAGAAACTAGAACCCTGATTAATTAGCTTACCTTCTTCAGGGTCACAAACTCATTCTCTGCTGCTGTGCGTTTGTTGATTTCATCTTCATATCTAGGAGAAGAGGGTTGACACACATGTAAGCTGGTGGGTGGTTGAAGCTGAAAAGCAGCCTGGTATATCTAAATCTATCTTTCTTGCCACAGAGAGTCTGAGAGATGATTTTTGTAGTAACAACTAAAATTTCACTTCTTTAATATCCTTCAACCTCCTATATCCCTATTTATCTTACATATTTACTTTTTAGCAATAATGATTTTTATTTCTATGACTATGGTTGCTGCATAATGGTGTCCACCTCTAGAACTTGTCACCCAATTATTTGGAGAAAACCAGCCCATCTTCTTGTTTGACTTACTTGTTCTTGTAATCTTCTACCAGATCCTGCATGCTCCTGAGTTCTGAGTCCAAGCGACCTCTCTCCCCAAGGATGGAGTCCAGCTGCCTCCTGAGGTTGCTGATGTACTGCTCAAACAAAGGCTCCAGGTTCTGTCGCACTGTCTTAGTGCCCTGTTCTTGGAGCAGGGTCCATTTGGTGTCCAGGACCTTGTTCTGTTGTTCCAGGAACCGCACCTGGAGAGGGACAAGATGATCATTTGTGAGGCAAAGGCAGGAAGAAAGAAGTGTCTCTGTTAGCAGTTCTCCCTGTGGGTCTTGGTTCTCCATTTTGTAGAGCTGCTTCTTAGCATGGACAGAGGCTCAGTTTTGTACCCACACCAAAACGTTTTTCTTTTGCAGCACAGAAATCCACCAGGGAAATTCCCCCTTGGACCATTGAGGGGTTCTCATCTTCTAAGTTATGAAGCCAATCAGTGACTTTCCACATTTCTTTTCCTCTTTCCAAGAACAATCACAAATGCAGTTTAAAAATAATATTTTCTGATATTTCCTGCTAGGTTTTAACAATGTATTGGATCTCAGTTATAAATGATATAAATGTTCACTAATGATTAGATTCCTGTCTAAGTTCCAATTTAGTGTATGTCTCCTCAAATTTATCCATTTTATGGTTGTTCTTTGTTGAATAAATTAGCATTTCTACATATTGTTTAAGTGGTTCTATTGTTTTCCTAATCTAGCCAGAAAAATTCTTTTCTTGTTTTCTTTTCTCTCTCTCTCTCTCTCTCTCTCTCTCTCTCTCTCTCTCTCTCTCTCTCTCTCTCTTTCTCTCTCTCTTGATTAATATTTTCCCTCTTACACAGACCCCAGAGTGGAATCCCCAGCCCAAACACCACTGGCATCATCTTGTCAAGAGGGGGACTGGATTCTTCCCAAATCCCATTGCCTCATCTGTGCTTCTGGGTATCAACAGTTCAGGGGTCCCCCTGTCAGGAATGAGGGCTATGGAAGAGACCCAGCAGTTCTTCTATGCTCTTGACTCTATGGGGCCAATCCCCATCCCTGTGGAGAGGTAGCCTGAGGTCCTTTTCCCTCTTTCCTAGTTTTTTCCACCCTGTAGGAAGTCTATCCTGTTCATAACTGGGGATTCTGAGGTGCCTTGCGGATGGCACTGTTTCCTGGCTCACCTTGTCGATGAAGGAGGCAAACTTGTTGTTGAGGGTCTTGATCTGCTCACGCTCCTCGGTCCTCACCCGCTGGATGGTGGGGTCGATTTCCAGGTTCAGAGGAGTCAGGAGATTCTGGTTGATGGTGACCTCCTGGATGCCTCCAGGGGGGCACACAGGGAAGCCAGCGCCCCCGTAGCCACCACCAAGGCCAGCAGCACCACCGAGCCCAAAGCCACTACCAGCTCCACCTCCAAAACCAAATCCACTGCTGAAGCCGAAGCCACCTCCAACTCCGCTGCCATATCCGCCGCCTATGGCGCAGCTGCCCCCTCCAATGGAGATCCTCTTGGAGACCCCTGTGCCATAGAGGCTCCTGCTGCCAAAGCCTGCGCTTCTGCATGCCGCCCCCATGCCACCACTGCCCCTGGAGCGGGACACAGACATGCTGCTGAAGCCAGAGCGGCAGAGCCCTGGGGCTCTGGCTGAGCTGGCACTGAAGCCTCTGCGGCTGCTGCTGCTGCTCTGGATCCTTGTGGTGGACTTGCTGGTCATGGTGCCTGGAGACGAGAAGGCTGGGCAAGGCGAGAGAGACTGAAGGGCAGAGCAGAGAGGAGCAGATGAAGGAGATGGGCTCAGGCAGAGCTTATATATGGTGTGAGTGGGCTGGGCTCAGGGCTGGAAGGTGAGCTTGCAGATTGGGAAGGGCTGGGCTTTACAAACAGTGAGATCACCCCCAAGTTCTAGAAAGGTATGAAACATGAAGGTTGCCTTTTGGCTTCCTGTAGTCATGGAGAAATTCTCTTGCCTTCCAGACTTGACTTGCTCCTAACACAATGAGCCTGGATGCAAATTCACTGAAGTCATGACTTAGTCATGTTCAGGAACAAAGCAAACAAGAAGCTGATCTGTGATAATTGTCCCTTCCTTCTGCTTATTCAGACACTCCCTGTGTGCCCCCTTACACACAGGTTTCCATCTCCACCCGCACCTCCCTTCTCCTCTGGGTGGGACTCTCCCTGAGGGTTTCCAGCCATTTTCCCATGGGCCTGAGCAAGAAATGGCCTGCCATGTTTACCCACCATGTTCGATTCAGTTCTTCGGTAGCTCCTGGCTATATGATCTGGTGATCTGAGCATGGGAATGGGGTACATAACCTTCCTCTAAGGCCAGAGGGATGGAGGAGTTGAAGTTTTCACTATTTAGAACCATGTTTGCTCTGTGCCCCCTGTGTGATAAGCTGCCCACTTGGCACTTTCCTGAGAGGACAGGTGCAGATCTCTCCTAACCTCTGCTAGGAACTTCTATCCATGCCTGTGCCTCCTGCCCCAGGATCTTCCATCCATGCTTGTGCCTCCTGCCCTATGGGTTTGCTTGCCCATTGAGCTGTCTTTCCAGCTGAAATTCATAGACATTTTCTCTCTGCAGTTTTTTGGAATGTTTAGTTAGAGCTTAAGTTTAAAAAAAAATCCAAAATGATTTGGACAAGAATCATGAAAGAATTCACGGAGGTTTTATTTCCACTAATTTTGACATTTCAGAAGAATCCAGAATTGAACATCTTAGCAGGGTGTGTACAGAAAGTTGAGGGGCATATAGAAGCAATGAATCATTAAAATGTGTCCTTACAAGTATGATGATTTCATAAGTAAATTCCAGATTTATATTTCTAATCTCAGTGCTTGAATTCTCAAATCTCTAAACCCTTTCTCAGAGAGCAGACAAGCCTTCAAATGAGAGTAGCACTTGGTTCACAGGAACTGAGTTTCATGTTTTCTAGTCCATGCATTAAGCACCATGAATGAGAATTGAGAACAACCCTAGGTGTATGGTGCTCTGAGAACATTTGTCTAACTGAGCAACTGTGGGAGGAAAGACCAACTCCCACACTGAGATGAGTTCCCTGAAAGTTCCAGTTACTATTTTAAATGCAGTCCCTTCTCTCCCACAAGTTGAGGGGCACAGCATCCAGGATGGCAGGGAGTTCCTGTCTAAAGCAGGTGCTAAGTCAGCGTCTGGCAGGAAAGAGATACCTTCTCAAGACAACGGAAGCAGCTGCCCTCCTCCACCCTGATTGCACAATGGCTCTTGAAGAATGTGCTTCCACCCAGTTCTGGGAAAGAGATGCTGTTCCTCATGGTCCAGGACACTGATGCACTCTACTGTTCCTGGTTAGGGGCTTTAGGCACGGCATGGGCTATGCCAGGCTTGGTAGGAAATGTGGTCAGGTTGGGTGGGAACACCCTACTTTTGTCCACCATCCCGTGTCTATGTCCATGCCTGATGCCTATGGCCACTTTACACCACAGTGGCAGAGATACGCAGCTTACAACAAAACTTGTGACTTGCAAAACCTAGAGTATTTGTCCCTTTAAAGAAAACCTTTGCTAGCCCCTGGTTAAGAACATGGGTCCTAGGATCAGACTAGGCTCCTTATGCAAATCACTGAGCCCTTTTTCTGCTGATTTTTACACCTGTAAATGAGTGTGTGTGTGAAAAGAGTACCTGCCTCATGGTGTTGTGAGGCTAAAATGAGGTAATTTGTGTGAAGGTTTAATACAATGTCTGGCATGTGAGTTCTCCACGGAGATGAGCTAACATCATTATCATGAAAGTAGGAAGAAGTTCAGTGTGTAGGAATCCAAGAGAAGCTTCAAGAATCAGAGCACAGCAGGGTGCAGTGGCACACACCTGTAATCCCAGCTACTTCAGAGGCTGAGGAAGGAGGATTGCAAGTTGGAGGCCAAACTGGGCAACTTAGAGAGACTTCATCTCAAATAAAAAAATAAAAAGAACTGGGGATGTCATTTGGTGATAATGCATGTCTGGGTTTAATCCCCAGTATGGGGTCGGGGGGGACAGAATTCAGAATATATGTGTGTGAATGGGAACAGTGGTTTGAGGACAGTAATGGAGCCAACAGTGCAAGATAGTAAGGACCTAGGAAGCCATGTGGAGGGGTTTGCCATTGTTCCTCAAAGCCGCGTAGAACTATAGCAGGCAGGAGAATGACAGGATCAGAAGAATGATTTGCAGCTTGCAGGTGCTCACAGCAGCAGAACCGAGTGGGAGCAGAGCCCACCCCGACCCTGACTCCCACCCTCCAGCAGATGTGGCAGGTAGTCGAAGTACCTGGAAGGAAACAACAAAGTCAGGGAGATTCTGAGTTTGGGGCAGGAGCCCAGCAGGCTGATATCCCTCCTCTGAAGCCACACTGCCCCGCTCATCCTCTACTGGGTCTCAGGCTGTTCTCTGGGTTGTGCATACAGGGACAGGCTGCTGTCAACCAGCACAGATAACCCCAACAGTCCCTCTTTCAGTCCTGATTTCATATCTTTGAGAGGATTGGGGAGCATTCATCCCTAAACAAAGTAGATTATTTCGATGCAGCTGAGACCTCCCATGTACTCCTTTAGCCTGTCAGAAGATGGGTTAACTTTAACATCTAACCCAAGCCCAGGCTTGCCCGGTGCACTAGACAGCACCAACAATGTAAAATGTCATGTTCGGTTTCCTAACACAGGTGTCTCTCTTACTGGTAGATTTATGAGACGTTTTCTAAAATAAAATCCTTGTCCCCACTTGCCAGGGAATGCTCTGGAAACCAGTTCCAGTGACCTCAGGAGACAGTAAGGTCAGCTTGGAGGGCCCAGGAGAGATGAATAGGGCTGGTAAGATGGTAGAGGAGAAGAGGGACCCTCAGCCCAGCAGATCTATTTCTGATTCCATTTCCTCCTAGCCCCACTACACTTAAAGTCTAAATATGTCCTTGGCTCATTTGTTCTTGATTTTTTTATTTTTCTTTGTCTGGGTATGGGAGGTGACCAGTGTTCCTTACCCACTTTTAGCCTGCTGTTCTGGGCTGGGCTGGGTTTCTTTCTCCTTTAGAGTCCAGCCCTCCCCCTTCTGCCTTCTGCTTTAGCACCAGGGGAGGGCTATGGTCCTAGGCAGTTAGGACCCTTGGATGTTTAGAGAATTGCCTTCTTGGATGACCTCTCCCTGGGAGATCTGTTTTCCCAGAGCAGCCACGTGGGAAAGGCCCAATCTTCATAATAAGATTAGAACAAAGGGTGATAGTTCAGGCAACTCTGTGAGAGACACTGAAGCAAGCAGCTGAGTACCTGAGAGGACAGTTGGCCTCCTCCCCAGAAGGCTGCCAAAGCTACCTGCTCTCTTCCAGGAGAGCCTTCCTGCCTTCTGTTTCCTCTGATTGCCATGGAATGTAGAAGGCCTTGTTCTTGGCCCAGGGGTTCACCTGCATGGCTCACATTGTTCCCAGCATGGAGGAGGGGAAGGAGGGAGGCCCTGAAGCTTGAGCCCATGGAAAGTCGCCTCAAGAGGATTTGCCTTGTCTTTCTGCCTCCCTGGGTGGAGCTGCCTGATGGGAATGAGGGAGAGGCCATTGTCATCATCCTTTAAGACTAAGCACCTAATCCTCAAGCCACAGCGCTGGATGATGCCTTTCAGAGGGAATCCCACAGACCCAGTCCAGTCCCTGGGTCACATGGGGCCACATGCACACAGGTGTGATAACAGACAGCTGCTCCCGGGGTGGAATAGAAAGTACAGCCTCCTCATAGAGTGGTTCAGAAAGTGCTGAAACTTACAACACTGTATTACTTAGTAAGTAGGTTGTTTATGGACAGGTAACCTATGCTATATTGTGCAGCTTCCCTTATAGCTCTCAAGTTTCACACACACAGTCCACCCATTTTTTTCCCCAGGGAACACTGGGACGGGTGACATATCTGGACATGATGCTGGCTGGCTGGCTCTACAGCTGCAGGAAGTGTCCGACATCTTTGTTTTCCAGTGGGACAGGGTGCTGCCTTAGGTCCATTGTGAAGTCCACAGGCCAATGAGAGGACGTTTCACACAGTGCTTCATAAGAAGCATTTATGATCTCCTGCCTCTGGACTTGTAGTCCCAAATTCCAAGATGTCACTTGGTGTGACTTTTTCTGGGATATTCCAAGAGCCCCTTTCCCCACAGACTTGAAGGGACCAAGAGGAGCATTAGGACTGCCGTTTTAACCACCAAAAGCAGCATGTGACAACGGATCTGGGAGGAATTGGAGAGGATCATTAGCCTACAGGATGGATGCCTGTTCTATGCCTTAGATATTGGATAGGCAGGTGCAGTTGGATGTTTAAGATGTTGGTAAAAGCAGAATTAGGCTAAGGGCTGAGGACATATTTGGAAGGAGAGGACAGCCCTTGGCTTACCTGATTGATGCAGGAACACTACTCATTGGAAGAAGAGCAACATATCTCATGAAGGAGGCATCTTGATGATCTGGGGTAGGAGATAATGCTGGAGTGACAAGAGTGCTTTAGAGAGGATGGGAAGGTAGCAAGGGATGAGCTCAATGACAGAACCAGGTCAGCGTGTACCTGGGAGGACTAGGGTACACTAATGTTGCCAGAAAGGCCTCAGGGGCATCTGATAATACCCTTCTCCTTTCCCCTGCCCTTCCCTCAGCCACTTTACGGAACTAGCTTGGATTTTTCCAGATAGGCATAGAACATACATGGCTGGGAAAGTCTGGACCCTGGGCAGAAATAGTTGATTTTTCTCTCTGATGCTTTCCTCAGAGTCATACCGCCTTTCTTATTCC